AAAACTGTCAAAATGCATTTGTTATTATTTTATGATTCCTTTAATGATTGAAAAATACCAAAACTGTCAAAATGCATTTAATATTCACTGTGCCAAAAGCCAAATATTCTGTAGTATTCAAGTATTGAATACCCATTCGAAATTCTAAATATTCAAACGTATTCAAGTAGTGTGATCTACGTGACGTACGCCGATAATATTCTTCTTGAATACGTGTGCATATTTTGCGTATAAAATCAATCTTTAGTATTCGGATCAAAATATTTCACGTTGAAGTATGCGAGTGTTTGCAATAAGTAAACTTAACGTATACAAGTATCGAATACTTCTTTGAAACTTTGAGTATGCAAAGGTTTTCAGGTAGCATGATCTATTTGACGTATGCCGATGGTATTCTGCCTGAATTCGTACGGCTACTTTCCGTATGAATTAATCTTTAGTATTCGGATTAAAATATTTCGCGTTAAAGTATGCGGGCGTTAACGATAAGTAAACTTAACGTATACAAGGGGCCGGTAATTCCCTCCCATGCAACCAAGCAAGCCACCGTGAGTTCCTTGATAAACAMAGACCTTTTATAGGCGCCCCGACGTTCAAGAAATGCCCGTACGCTAGTACTCGCTTTGCAGGAAAGTCGTGATTTCAACTGTAGGTAGAKGCYAGTATCAACGTACGTGGCGTGGTCTAGGGGACCCCCTTCTTTTTAGTTTTACTTTGATACTGTTTGGTGGTTTCTTTTTAATTATTTCACAAAGACAGACGATAAGATTTGACACTGGATRAAAAAACGGATTTATATAGYTGCAAATATGAAGTAAAATTYGTCATCAATTTGACTTTGATTCGTGTATACCTTCTAATTATTTAATTTATGAAATTTCGCTTATTTTCTTTTTATCTATGTCGAATTTATTTTTATTTAGCAMACTGTACTGGACACGTTCCTCCTCTTGGGGACTAGGACGAGGATAGCCATGATCCTTTGCGATATTCTTTTGTCTCGCTGAGCGCGGTCATTTCAACGGTCATTTTGAACAGTGAGTCTATAATTTTTCTGTCTATTAGCAGTTTTTGTGGATTATATTCGTTTATAAACAGCGTCTGTCTACCAGTAAGCTATCCGAGTAGCTGCAGAGTCTTTAGGCATGATATTTTAGCGTGGAAGACAGAGAACTGGTGAGATACTMTGCCGAAWAACGTGTAGGTACGTTAAGTTGGAGTTTGTTTTGTCGTAAGCAGTACCGTTGTTGTTGAGCTATAATATATCATTCCATCCTGATATTAAACATAATGAAACCGTGTAACAATATTTTTCTCGATCGTAGACACCAAATCAAAGTCTTGAAGTGAATGAATATGGATGCATGTACTGCAGGAAGCTCAATCAGCTGAAAATATGTGGGTCATAATCAAGATTTAAGTTACATTTTAAAGTACAGT